AAGGGTATTCTTTCCAAGGTGATGTGCCGATAATTCCAAGTTTTAAGATATTTTTGGATAATGTTAGTGACATAAAGAATACTAGATGCCATGCAAATGAAAGAGTGTGTGATGGAAAAATTCGCCATGTAGCTGATTCATTGCAATGGAAGATAATTGATTCCTTGTTTCCAGATTTTGCCATTCAACCGAGGAATCTTAGGCTTGGATTTGCCACCGACGGAATGAACCTTTTTGGTAATTTAAGTACTACCATACATAATGGTTTGTTCTTCTCATAATTTACAATCTATCTTCATGGTTGTACATGAAGTGCAAGTATATGATGCTATGAATGATGATTTTGGGTCCAAAACAACCAGGGAACGACATAGATTTTTATTTAACGCCATTGATTGAAGATTTAAGACTTTTGTGGGAGGAACGTGTTAATGTTGATGATGCGTATAGAGGTGATAACTTTAAGTTATATGTCATGTTGTTTTGCATAATCAATGACTTTCCTGCATACAGTAATTTGTCTGGGTACAACGTCAAGAGACATAAAGAGTGTCCTATATGTGAAGTTGATACATGTCACCACCAATTACAAAAATGAAAAAAGACAGTTTATCTTGGGAATAAAAAATTTCTAAGACCTAATTATCCATATCATAAATTGCATAAGGCTTTTAATGGCGACAGGAGTTTGATATTGCTCCAAAGACCTTAACTGGGAAGCAAATTTATAAAAGATAACAACACATTAATGTTGTCTTTGAAAAGAAACAAAAAAAATTTGTGGAGAAAAATATTTGGAAAAAGAAGTCGGTGTTTTTTTATTTTTCATATTGGTCTAGTCTTGATGTAAGACATTATCTTGATGTGATGCATGTGAAGAAAAATGTCTGTGATAATTTGATTTGAACACTTCTCAACATTAAAGGCAAGACAAAAAGATACTATGAAATCCCACAAATATATGATTGTGATGGGTATACAACAAGAGTTATCCCTAAGAGAAATAAAAAAAATATATATTTTCCCCCAGCATGTCACACGCTGTCTAAAAAAGAAGAAAAAAACATTTTTGGAAAAATTTGCAGGGTATCAAAGTTCCCCAATAGTATTCATCAAATATGAAGAAACATGTGTCAATGAATGATCTCAAGTTAGTTGGCTTAAAATCTCATGATTGTCATGTCTTGATGCATTAACTTCTATCAGTGGCACTTTACCAAGAAATGTAAGGATAACTATAATCAAAGTGTGCTTATTATTTAATGTTATATGTAGTAAAGTTATTAATTTTGGAAATTTAGAAGACTTGGAACATGAAGTTGTAATTATCTTGTGCAAATTAAAGAGGTTTTTCCCTCCATCATTCTTTGATATTATGGTTTGCTTAGTTGTTCATCTAGTAAGAGAGATTAGAATTTGTGATCCAGTTTATTTATGGTGGATGAATCTGGTAGAACATTACATGAAGATTTTTAAAGGGTATACAAAGAATTAATCTTCTAGAAGCTTTGATCGTAGAAAGGTAGATCATAGAAGAGGCTATTGAGTTTTCTACAAACTATTTGTCAGAAGCGAACTCTAAAGGAATTCATGAGTCTCGTCATGATGAATGTTATGATGGTAGAGGTATTCAAGATTTAAATGTTAATACATTTGAGCGAGAAGTAGTTCTTCAAGTACATTTGTATATATTGAATAACCTTAGTGAAGTTCAACCTTACTTGACTGCTCACAAAAGTCTTATAAAGGAAAAATTCCACTGGATGAGTGAAAAATGGTTGTTGACAGAGCATAAAAAAACTTTCATAACATGGTTTAATGAAAGTGTTTCTAAAGAGAGTAGCGCATCAGATACTTGCAAATGGTTGTCACGTATGCCTAAGTTTAATGTAATTACTCGGATTGCATATGACATTACTAAATATTCATTTTATACAAAATCAAAGGATGATCGTAGCACCATGAAAAATAATTGGGTTATGGTTGAGACTGAATCCATGTATTTTTCTAGTTCCAAAGATAACAATCATGTACTAGCATCTAGAGCGTACTTTAGGTTCATTGAGGAGATTTTAGATATTGACTACGTTTCTTTTAAAGTGTATTTATTTAAGTGCAAGTGAATTGACAGTAATACTGGTGTAGAAACCGATGAATTAGGATTCACACGAGTTAATTTTCAAAAGGTAACTTATAAGAACGATCCACTCATCATGGCAATCCAAGCAAACCAAGTTTTTCATGTCACTGATCCTGCTAGCACTAATGGTCAATTGTTCTTCAAGAAAAATATCTTCCCGATAGTACTAATGAAAATCAAGATTTTAACTATGAGACGCCTTGTTTAGCAACACATGTACGCCAATCATCTGAAGAAAATGATTTAGATAATGAGCATGATATTCGTCATAATCATGAAGAGGGGATATGGGAAAACTAGTTAGCAAATGTTTTATATCGCTTAGTAGTTTATAATTATTCATTTCTTTTTTTTATTTCTTGTATTATAGATTTAAAGTTGTTGTTGATTATCCTAATTAGTTTCAAATGTTTTTTAAATTATAGGTGTTTAACGACTAGTGACAAATCCTATTGGACAACCAACAAAACTTTCTATTTTGGTTATTGCTTTTGTTGGTTAATCATTTGTTTTAGTTTTGATGTAAAATTATAAAGTGTGATATTTTGGATTTACATTTGGTGTAATCAATAAATATTTATGGTATAAATTTTTTAGATTGAGAAATTGACAAAATGCAGTATTTCATTTTCAGGAATCTGCAAAATATGATTCTATATTTTATAATATGGTCTTGTAATACAGATGCAAACAAAAGTACTAAAAAAAAACTTATCCCCTTGACTTTTACATAAATTCGAGGAAATAATATTGAGATATTACCTAATTCTACATAATATCGAGTGTTAATATTGAGCGCGTCATCCAATTCTAAAAATAATAAAAATATAGATGCTGGGGATCGAACCCACGTGCATATCACTTTATCTTTGATATTTTAATAATCGATGGGATAAAATGATAATATTTCATAATGTCCTTTATTTTACTCATTTCCGTAGTCGAAATCAAATACATTTCGTGTTTAAGACTAACTATGATTTTTAGTAGTGCCGACTAATAATAGATAAAAGAAATGTTTAAACATCGATGCAGTGGAATTCTCTTAGTCATTACCATACTCCTCAAATTTAAGAAGTAACTCACCCCATTTCTCCACTAATAGATCAAACATAGGAAGACGTGAATTACTAATAGAGGAATTAATTCCTATTGAGGAAGCCAGAGCTATAAATATAAGATCTTGTAGCTAGAAAAAATATCACAATTTCTACAAATCAATAAACAAAAGACCTTTGACCGGTACACTGTTGATAGGAGGATCTACACTATTGTACTATTAGCAAATGTAATAATATATTTTTATTTTAATGATTATCAAATACAAGAATATGTTTTTTATTTTTAATATAAATAAGGATGATAGTGACAACATCTCACACATTCAAAAATAGTGGCGGGTGAAAAAAATTATCATACTCTTTTAAATAAAAATTTAAATTTTTACAAAATTCAGTACAACTACTTTATAAACACATTTCCAAATCAATTTATAATTTTTAAAATTATATTTTTTTTATAAAATATAATTTATTTTGTATTTATTGCTTTATGTTAAAGTGATATAAATTGAAATCATTTAACTAATGTCAATTTATTTTTTACCTTTTATATCTATTTTTTAAAATAAATATATACACCCTCTATTTTAAAATAAATGTCGTTTTAAAGAAAAAAAATATTTTAAAATAAATATTATTCTCACTTTTCAATTTAGTAATAAAAACTATTTTTTTAATTGTATCATATAATTATTATTTTTAATAAATTAACAAATCTAATTTAATAAAACTACAATCTTATGATAATATAATTGCATTCTTTAATCTGTATGTAAAAATTTTAAACAAGGAGGGAATATATATTTCCTCCACTCCTCAAAATTTCTAGGTAGGAAACTTCACAATTGAAAGATAAAAAGTAAGATAAAGTTTAACACATGGTCTTTAATTTTCTTTGCATTAATATACTTAATCTCATAGAAATCATCTAAAGAATGTGTAGAGATGGGGTCCATGCCAATTTACAATTGCAACTAATAAATGAAAAAGCAACTTTACTGACTCACCCCTATGCTATACTGCTGACACTGCAAGCTCTCCCTTCTGTTAAAACCATGTGCCTCTTTAGACCTTTGTGTGTGTTTGCTTATGTTGAGAGAGACGAATGCCTATTTCAACTATGGCACTGAAAAACATGCATCTGTCTTTTTATGTAACACATAGAAAATGACCCTTTATTTTCCCTCATCAAAAGTGGTATATTTATATAGCCCCCTCTTCTCTTGTTATATTTTGTTTAGAAAAATAAAATGGTCCCACCCTACTTCCATCATTCACCCAGATGAATGTCACATGTGTCATTCAATTTATATATATTATAAAGGGTCCATTTCATCTAGCTAAAGGACATATACTTCAACAACATTAATAATTTTGTCTTTTTTTTTCTTCTTTCTTTCTCACCACATGCATGCATTGCCTCTAATGTAGTGTATAATTCAATTATCCATCATTTGTAATTTTGTTAACTAGAGGAATACAAATACATTGTAAATGTAAAGCTAACTTCAAATATTATTTTGTTCTTTTGAATACAACAAATAAACATGAATGTGTCAAAATAACAAAATTGCAAAAAAGTTACAAAACATTTAAAGCAAACCTTGTTCAATAGCTGTCAAAGACTGTTGATCAATGAAAACTCCTAAAAACTGCATCTCCACAACCTTATCTAATAAAGAATATGAACTTTTTTTTTTCTTCTTCTCAAGTAGTAATGCAAAATGAGGGGAAAAAAGAATAAGCAAAGAAAGAACTTTATGACTTATTGTAAAACTAAGTTGAAGATTTTCTTTGTGTCATTCTGCTTCTCCTTCTGTGGTGGCTGAGGACATGTAACCCATAACAATGGATGTTTCTTCTGAAGGAACACCAGAAGTTGAAGATTGAAAGTTTTGTTTACAAGCTTGACATGTTATTTCCATAACAGTGTTGCTTATTTTCTTAACAGCTTGTTTTCTCAAAGCTTCTGCTTTTCCAAGTTCATCTTGTGCTTGTTTTCTTATCCTTTTAGCATTCTCAAACTCAACTTCAGCTATCTCAATCTGTCGTTTCGCTTCTTTTCGTGCTTCTTCTGCATAGGCCTTTTCTGCCATTGCCAACTTTAGCTCCTCAGTACTATACTCCTTCAATCTTGTTACTTCCAATGTAGAGGCAGAAATGGAGTTTCTTTGTTTCTCTGACTCGTTATTACTTCCTATGGAAAGTTTCAAATGTGTTGTTTCGTAGTTTCGATCGTTTGCATTTTGTTTTTCGGCTTGAGGATTTGTAGAAGAAGGTAACAAGAGTTGAAGTTCTAAGTTATGTTGGTGAGAGGTGGAAGGTTTGTCAAATGGTTTTGGAAGAATAATTGGTAGTCCTTGTAATGGGGCTGACACACTAAAATTTGCCTCACTTGATGGACTTGTGCTTGAAGCTGTTCTAGAAGAACATGCAGGTTGCATTGTTGTTGCTTGAAACTCTGGTTGATTATTCTTCCCTCTCACATTGCATGCATCTTGATGTTCTATGAAACTCTCAACCCTAATCAAAAGGACAAATGCATCTTTAGATCACTAATGATAGATTATAATTCTACTTAGATAGACTTATTCGAGTTTATCTGCACGCATAAAAACTCGTGAAACTCTTCAAAATATCTTATGAAAATGCGCATTTAATAAACCTATTCTTCTATCCAAATCGTTAATAGCGAGATCACTTTAATATCTTCTCTTAATAAAAAAAAGACATGTATAATAAGCGCTTATGTTATAAGTGTGTTATTAAAGTGTTTAACCAAACAATTTAATATCATCTCTTAGTAGTCTTTATAAAAAAAGACATGTATAATAAACGCTTATATTATAAGTGCATTATTAAGCTGTTTAATCAAACAAAGCCTATATATTATACTAGATTATGATTGGATTGTGATATTATATATTTTAATGAATGTTATGGCATAATCTTAAAAAACAAATTGGTCAAACAAAGATATGTTGTTGTTCATGTTTATAAGAATCTTAATTAATAATTAATCAAAGAAAAGGGTCATAGCTTATTTGAAAATTAATTAATTAATCAATAAAATAAGATAGTAGAGTGATAAAAAAGGGTGTATACTAGTACTAGTACAAATTAGTTCTTCCCTATTATACATGGTTTCATTGGAACTAGTAAAATTTTAGGGCTTGACTTCCTAGGAAACTAGGTGCAGAAGAATAATCAAATAGTTATAATAATATTAATTTGGTTTCTGTTAACAACGCAATCAATTGTTGAATTTGATGAATGATGAATGAATCACACACACACATAAAAAGAAAGAGAGAGAAATACCAAAAAAAAAAAAGAAAAAAGAAAAAAAAACTAGTAGAATAAAGATGAAAACTTGGAATGAAGAACAATACAAGAAAGTGAGAGAAAAGGCATAAACCTGGAAAATACACGACCACAATCACACGAATGTCCTCTAGTACCACATGTTTTGATATGAGCTTTATAATCAGATTGAACAGCATAACCTTTGTTGCATTTTTCACAAACCCATTGTTTGTGATTACTATGTTTTCTTCTAAAATGTTTTTTGATTCCAACAAGGTCACCTAGAGCATGACAAGGATCATGGTGCAAACAACTTGGTTCTGGACAAACAAAAACTCTCTTTTTCAATCCTTGTGTTGTTTCTCTCTTGAGTAGTTTCCACGGTACCTTGTGTCTTCTTCTATGCATTTGAAGATTCTGGTCTCTTTGGAAACCTTGGTTGCAGATCTCACATACATATCTATCAGATTCTAACAAAGTCTTTGGTGAAAGAGACACAACTTCAGCATCTGGATCTGTCATAAATAGAGAAGAAAAAAAGTATTTTAAGGTTGAAAGCTTGAAATCTTGAAAACTTGAAAGCTTGAAAGTAAAGGAAAAAAAAAAAGAAACCTTTTAATGTTTTTTATGTTTTATGTTTTATGGTATGTTATGTTACCTGGTGTGCCTGCTGGTCTTCTTTTTCTTTTGTTATTGCTATTAGCACCTCCATTTTCTGATAATGCAAAAGCAGTATCAGAAGATGAATTTGTAGTGTTGTTGTTGTCTAACATGGGTGGAGATATGAGAGAATCTGTGCAGTGAGGTACAGTACAGGTGGTGGTTGTGGTGGTGGTGGTGAAGATTGGAATAGTGAGTGGAAATTCAGCTTTATTCGTGGAAAGAAAGATGAGAAGTGATAATAGCAAAAAAACAGAAGGAGGAAAGAGGAAGAGAGAGAAAAAGGTAGTAGTACACACTAGTATTGCTTTATGAAATCAGCTTTTCTTTTAAAATGGCTTTTTCATCATAGCTATAGCTATATAACTTTTCTTGCTTTGCTTTGTTGGTGTTTTGATTGACCCCTCACCTTGAGCAGGTAAGGTTGAAACCAAGTCTTTGTTTGTTTGTAAAGCTCTCTTTTTCTATATACCTTTGATGTGTGTATATAGTAATATATGTATATTAAAAAGAAAATAAGATTTCATGGTAATTTGCTTTTATACCGTAGGAATAATCGACTGGTTTTACAGTGGTTAAAGTTGATTTTAGATAAAAATAAGTTGATTATATATATATATATATATATATATATATATATATATATATATATATATATATATATATATATATATATATATATATATATATATATATATATATATATATATATATATATATATATATATATATATATATATATATATATATATATATATATATATATATATATATATATATATATATATATAACTCGTTTGTTTTTTCTTTTTTTTTAAAATAATTTTTATAATATAATAAATGTTTGGTGTATAGCAAAAGTTTTAAGAAATTTTTATGAAAATTTAGTTAGAATAATTATTCTTAAAATATTATTTTAAATATTATATTATTTTATTAAATCATTTAGATATTAAAAATTAAAAAATATTTAATTTTAAAATTATTTTAAATAGTTTTTTATAAAAATTATTTTTGAAATATATTTTTTTTTAAAAATTGTAATTTGATCAACTGTATTTTAATCTTCAATAATATATATTTATGTTATATGATGTCGAATAATTTTTTGATTTTGAAAAACAAATATAAAAAATATAATATTTTAAAAAATGTTAATATAAAAATCATTTATGAAAATATAAAGAAAAAATTTATTTTTTTAAGCCAATACAAAAGAGGCACATAATTGCCAAAAGTAATTTTAACATGTATATGAAAAATTGCAAAAAAGTTAGAATTGATTTCACTTTAATGTTGAAAATGACTTGTATTTTATGTTGAGTGTCTCGGTGAATGACAACTTCTATTAGAGTTTGGTTGATCGATTGGTTCAGATGTCATATTAAAATTTGGTTTAATTCATCCTTATAAAATTGATTTATAAGGTGAAGATTTTCACTCTATAAATTTCTTCAAGGTTTTATCTCTATTCAATGTGGGATTTATGATCTTTTCAATAACTTGTTTAAAGGTTATTGGTGTTGGAAAAAAATAGTCATAGAGAAAATAAAGAACATAATAACAATGTATGGACATGTAAATTTTAAAATGAAAGAAAAAACATTCTTCAAAATATTTATCCATATCTCACAGTATTCTAAGACAACTAAACATTTTATATAGAGAGTATATTTTTTTAGTTTTGGTGTACCTCCTTTTTTTATAATCGGTGATGTGAGACTTTTTTAACATGTATAATTTCAATCAATATTAAGAATTTAACTTGTATCAAGAGAGTGGGAAAAGTTGAAAGCATCAATGAGACCAGTATTCTAAGATCACAAGTGAGAAACCTCATATCTCCACCTAAAACCTTAATATATTAAGTATATGAGTCACATCTTTTATATATCCAACATTTTATCCATTTTTATACAATGCGAGACTTATTCACTCATCATTGAACCTATAATCTTTTCTACAAGAGTGACTTTTCATCTCCTACAAAAAGATCCAACACATAACCCAATATCTATTCCCTTACTAAGTTAAATAACAACTCTAATATCACTTATTGAGAAGTTTGTGGAAGGTGAAAGTAACAACAAAACAATGATCGAGGACCATAAGAGAGAGAGAAAGAAAGAGATCATGTTTCCATCCAAAATGTTAATTAAAATATTATATATACGAGTCACTTCTCTTATAAATTCAGTATCCTCGATAAATGAGAATTCACATCTCCTATAATAATATCCAACACATAATCCAACTTTTGATTTTTCACCAAACCAAACAAGGCTTTAATACTACTTGTTGGAGAGTCTGAGAAAGACGGGAGCAACAACATGCCCAATGCTTTAAGACACATACCGAGAGAGAGAGAGAATATTACATAAAAATTAGTAGTAGTAGTGTGTATATATATATATATATATATATATATATATATATATATATATATATATATATATATATATATATATATATATATATATATATATATATATATATATATATATATATATATATATATATATATATATATATATATATATATATATATATATATATATATATATATATATAGTTATAGTTATAGTTATAGTTAGTTAGTTAGTTTTATTTAAAAAAATAATTTTATAGTGTAATATATATTTTGTTTAAAAAATTTTCATATTATTTTAGGCGTTTCATCATTTTATCAAAAAAAATTTAGATATTAAAATTAAAAAAAAAACTTAATTTTGAAGCAATTTCAAATAGATTTTGATAAAAATTATTTTTGAAATACAACTTTTTAAAAAATTGCGATTTCGACTATATTTTGATTTTCAATAATGTATATTTATGTTATAGAATATCAAAATTAGTCTTTTAATTTAAAAAATAACAAATATAAAAAATTGATAATATTTTTAAAAACATTTTTCTAAAAATCATTTTTGAAAATATAAAGAAAAAATCAATTTTGTTAAAGTCAAAACAAACAGGCCATAATTGTCAAAAGTAATTTTAACATGTATATGAAAATTTGCAAAAAGTTAGAACTGATTTCACTTTAATGTTAAAAATGACTTGTATTTTATATTGAGTTTCTTGGTGGACGAGGCTTGTATTAGAATTTGGTTAAATTCATCTTTACAAAATCAAACTTGTAAGGTGAATATTATCACTCTATATAAACTCCTTTATGACTCCATCTTCAATCAATGAAAGACTTGCGGTCTTCTTAATACACCACCTCATGCTCAACACTCTTTTGGATTTGGTGCATAAATTTAAACGGTGGGAAATCTAAGGTCCCATCGATAAGCTCTGACATCATATGAGAGTTTGGCATAATTCATCCTTACAAAATCGATTTGTAAGACGAGAATTTCAACTTTATATAAATTTCTTCAAGACTTTATCTTTAACTAATGTGGGACTTGTGATCTTCACAATAACTTGTTTGAAGGTTATTGGTGTTAAAAAAATAGTTATAGAAAAAATAAAGAACATAATAAAATAAGGACATGTAAATTTTAAAATGAAAGAAATACACATTCTTCAAAATCTGTATCAATATCTCACAATATTCTAAGACAAGTGTGCATTTTATATCAAGAGTACATATTTTTAGTTTTGGCATTTCTCTTTTTTTATAATTGAAGATGTGAAACTTCTTAACATGTATCAGGAGAGTGGGGAAAGTTGGGAGCAACAATGAGATCAGTGCTCTAAGACCACACGTGAAAGACGTCATATCTCCACCCAAAACCTTAATTTATTAAGTATATGAGTTACATCTCTTATATATCCAACATTTTATCCATTCTTATACATTGTGAGACTTAATTACTCATTATTGAACCTAACAATCTTGTCCACAGGAGTGACTTTCCATCTCTTATAAAAAATCCAACACAGAAACCAACATTTATTCCCTTGCTAAGTCAAATAACGGCTCTAATACCACTTGTTAAGAAGCTTATGGAAGGCGAAAGAAACAACAACAAAATGCTCTAGGACCAAAGAGAGAGAGAGAGGTCATGTTTCCACCCAAAATGTTAATTAAAATATTATGTATATGAGTCACTTCAGTTATAAATTCAATCTCCTCTATAAATGAGAGTTCATATCTCATATAATAGTATCCAACACATTATCTAACTCTTGATTCTTCACTGAGCCAAACAAGGCTCTAATACTACTTATTGGGGAGTTTGAGAAAGAAGGGAGCAATAACATGTCTAATGCTTTAAGAGAGAGAGAGAGAGAGAGGGAGAGTTGTGTCATATATCCATTCAAAATCTTAAGACATTAGGTTTATGAGTCACCTCTCTTATAAATCTAACATATTATCCATTCTGAGGCCATATGAGACTTAACCACTCACAATTGAATCCAATAACTAGGTAGTTTGCGTGATGCATCAAATTTAGATGTGAATAATATGTCTATTATACAATTGGCCTATTCCGACCTTCCAGATGATGATTATTAACCAAAACTATTTGTCAAGCACCCTCAACTATAAAGGATTAGATAAATACTTTCGACATGAAATTGTCATAATTTATTATAGGGTCATGAACTTGTTTTACTTAAATCAGATTTGTCTTATATTGGTTTATTTTATTTTCCACAACTCTCACTGACTCCATCTCTAAAATAGAATTCCTTTTTAAATTTTTTTAAGAGATCATGCAAGGTTCATTGGGTTCATGAAAATATTATTTGCTTAGATGTGAGAAAGGTGGTTTGAGTATACAAAGGATTTGTGAATTTAATTTATCATTATTCGATAAATGGTGCTTAGTGCTTAGAAGAGACAAATATGAATTGTGGTTTAAGGTATTATTTTGTAAATATGAGATCATATTTGATGTGATGAGATATGGAGATGAAGAATTTCTTTGTTGTGGAAGAACATTTATATTATTAAAGAAGAGATTGGGTTTAATAATGTGAATTGATTATATGGTTATATTGTGAGGAAGGTGGTTAATGGGGGAAATGATGATGTTTTTAATTTAATTTGTGGTAGAATGAGATCACTTGAGTGAAAAAGATTAAAAACAAAATTTTGTTTACAAAAAAGGTGTCTGCAATATATTATTGGGTATGTTCATAATCTTATGATTTC